TGCTCAGGCGCAACTAAACACCCACTGTACAGCCAGTGGGTCGCAGCAGCGCCCCAGTCAGCAGCTGTCACTTCCCCAGGAGCATCCTGAGGTCCCTTCCTGGCAGCACTGGCACCTTTCTGACAGTCATCACCTTTCCCTGAGTCCCTTGGCCATGATGCTACAGAGGCATGACTCCTCTCAAGAATGGAATTAGTACAATCTGGGGCTAGTTCCCAAGAGCGCAAAGGTACCAAGGAAGGAAGGTTGTCAGGAGCTGGCTGCATAAGAAGGAAGGTTGCTGTCTGGTTTTCCATGCAACTTTGAGGACCTTTAAATGCCAAGAGGCTCTAGGCACAAGGGATGCTCATGTTGCAGGCTTACCATTGCAAGAAAAGCTCACGACGAAAGAATTGCTTCAGACAGTACGTAGAGTTACCCATGCTTAGCACTGTTCACTGAGTCACAGGTCACAGATGCACACTAGCCTGCAGGCCATGCTAGTGGCCCTGAGTAAGCATTTCAAGAGTTCTGCCTAGGCACAGGGGTGGTTAAAGACAGCATGATGTCTAGAGAGGATCAGTTACATTCTCCCTGTCTTTGTGCATAGGCATTGTCCAAAGATTGTTGGAGGGGGCACTGCTGATGGTACGGGGAGTCTTGTCTTCGATGGCAACAGTATAGATGAGCTTGTACAAAACTGCATTCCTTGAATCCCTAATATATATGATGAACAAAGAGCACACATCCCCACATGAGCCGTCACTGATGGCAGATATATCACTGAGCAAAAGGAGGTGCTGTTTACAGTTGCCACCATTGTGGCCAGAAGTCACCCAGCACTTGTGCAGTTTTCCGTGCTGGGCTGCCTGGCACAGCAGCCCTTACCTCCTTCGTACTAGAGCTGTTGTCTCAGGATCAGCCAGCTAGCAAAGGCAAGTGACCAGCTTCAGCATTTTCTTCACTCCTGTAAATCAGCCAGTTCCCTTGACAGTTGGTAGTTATCTGCAGGAATTTGGCTTTGCAGATCTTAAATAACACATCAGGAAGTCTGAAGAAAGCTTCTGCATAATTGTTCAATAGCCTGGCATAAGATCACAGCATAAAACCCGAACTGAACCATGTTAGAAGACTGAATGTTCTGACCACAGTTGTTAGTAACAGGTATTTGTAGGAGAACTGTAAGAAAGTCTAAAAATGAGGGTCATCTAATGGTTTTAGCCCTAAGCACAACAGGAAGTACAACCACAATCACATGGTAAGGCATTTCCATGGCAACTGATAACATTTTCCATTAAGCTGGAATTAATTTCAGGCTATAATCTGCCTAAGGACACAAAACACATAAGGGTGCAGCAAGATAGGTGATGTCATATGTAGGAAAAGGAAATGGCTGAACTGTGGTATGATGGGAGTGGGAAGGAGTAAGAGCAGGACTTGACGCCAGAAACCATTGTCCCAGCACATCGTGTCATGGGCAGGAAATGCTCCCTGCTCTCGGTTACCACCGGATCTCACTATGTTGGTTTCCTTGCAATGGACTGGCTAAATAATGCAGGTGGGAGAATCCTGCACCACTTCTCTTTCCCCGGTCCCATAACTGTGTCATGGGTCTCTCCTAGCTTACGAAAAAGAGGTATTACTTAACTGCCTTACCAGACGTGCTGCCTCCATGACTGACAGGGCCCTGACAGGGCCACCCTGTCCATGGACCAGGATCTGCTTCCAGCCCAAACCAGGGCTGTCAGTCCCTGCCCCAGCAACACAGCAGTTCCCAGCTCTCCCCAGCCCTGCTTAGCCACGAGCCCTGACAAGCTCCAACATCCCTGCCCACCCTCAGTCTGTCCCTGTCCCCACAGCCCTGCCTGCCCATCCCTGCACATGACTCTGAGCTGCAGGCTGACTTCTTGACTTGAGCTCATCATCACTGCGAACCCACCTGATGATCTGTAGGTGCGATTGCGGTCACCAGGCCTGCCCTGCTCCCTGAAAGGTGGTGGTGGGGCACACCTCGGTGTTATCCCACCCAGCTCATGAATCCTGGGCCCTGAGGGAGCTGCCAGCTGCACCCTGGCACAAACGTCTACAGTGCCATGATAGCCAGGTGTTGCTGCGAGCCCTTGCCAGGAGACTACATCCGAACCTACCTGCAGCCTGCTGTACCCTAACAGATCTTGTTGTTGCTGTAACTGTAAGCTATAGATGAGATGCCAGTGGGACAGTCCCAAGGGAAGGATGAATTGGGCCAGCAGAAGTCCTCCTGTCACTTTATGAGTTGTGGAGACATGTTGCTGCTTGATAGCTGGATCTGTTGATTTCCCACAGTTGAAAGCTACAGCGACGAGGCCTTATGATGTCCACTACTTCAGCTCCTTCTCGAGGAATAAGTGGGATTGAATAGGTCGGTCAGTCCAGCTGGCCCAAGGCCTTGGGACACGTGAGAGAAGAGCTGCCTTCACCAATGATTTGTTTTTATTAACTAGCATCTAGGAAGGCTGTATTAACTTGCATCTAGACACGATATATTCGGGGTCTCCCAGTGCACTGGGATAATAGAGGCTGGTTCATCAGACAGACTGTCCCCATTTACCCTCCAAGCTATGTAGACAGGTAGTCACTCTGGTTATGAAGCAGGTGCAAGCTGCCTGCATCAGCCCTTGTACTTAGCAGTGGGCTCACCAGCTCCCAGCACTTAGGAATTTCTCAGTTTTCACAACTAGGATGAGTGGTGTCAGGCTAGACCAGTGTCCAGACCCTTGGGCTGGGAAGGAGTCAGTGATGGTACTTTGGCTTAGCCCAGATCCTCCTTTTCTCAGTGACTCTCAGCAGCTACAAGTGGCACAGCTCCAGCAGCCTCTACCAAAAGCGTGTTCTGTAGTTTTTAATCTAGGCAAAAGAAGCAGAGGAGCACAGTCACAGTTAATTGAAATTATTATTACCTTTATGAGGAATGGCTTCAAGTGGAGCACTACACTGACTGAATATGGGTTCCCCCTTCCTTTCTTCCCCAAATAAACTTATTCGTGAAGATCCCAGTAGTGAATGGGTACTGTGCTTTCTCTCTCTCTTATTTTCTGCAAATATGAATAAGGTGCTGTGTGACAGAACACTCCTTTCATGTCAGAACAATATGTGGTGGCTATTAAAGATTCACAGGCAGGTATGAAGACACAGACTGAGAAAAGATGTATATTCCCTGTTCCTGAGTTGGAGGAAAATCTTACCCACTCTAATCAAACCACTGCAACTGAAATTGATACTAAAGTTCTCACCATTTTTCATGAGTTTCATGGGTTTTTCCATCCATGTTACCCTCGGATATATTGAGGAAAGAGTCCACCTATATTATCTTCATGTCTGCTGTGCAGATGAGAAAATGCTGCATTTGTGCATGTGAAGGTATCTCTCTTGTTTCACTGGGCTAGGAGTCTGAGGGACACAAAAGGGTGAAACCATAGCCATAGGTGCACAATTAGATGGATAGGAATAGCTTAAACCTGAAGAAAAAAACCCTGTAGCTTCAAAAGAAGTGGAAGGAAATATGGCACATCCTGTTTCTACAAACCCTATTCCAGTAACTGAGGAAAATCCTTAAACATTTAAGGGTTTGCAAAGCTACTTACCTTCATTCATAGTTTTCCTGTTTTCCTCTGAGGTCAAACAGGTTTATGTGTGAAAGGACAACCTGCACTTGACAGAGTGAAGCCATCTGCCACTTCTTGTTTACACCAGTTCTGCAAAGCTAATCCCAGAGTCTCTGTCTTTCCTTGCATTTTCAAACTCCGTAAAAACACAAAGGCTTGATGCGCAGAATAAGTGGCACATTTTAAATCTTTTTCAAAGGTTGATTTGCTTCAGTATTTTCTCATTATTAAAGGAGGATATCTGCTGAAATAACAAAGAAATATTTCACAAAGCAAATGAAAACACTGGAAAATCTAAGGTCAAGCAAGTTAATCTGAGTGTTAAAATGCCCATGGTACAGCCAAACTCAGACCTCTCTGGTATGTATTCCAAAGTCGGTATCTTCATTCATTGCTTTCCCACCCTACAAGTTCTTCTCAATGGCAGCCAAACTCTCATTGAAGTTGACAGGAACAAGCTCTGAAGCTTACCTGAGCTCCCAGTGCGTGGAAAAAGTCCTTATGGAATCAATAGAGACTACATTACTAGGTAGGTAACATAGAATTATAGAATCATTAGGTTGGAAAAGACCCTCAAGATCACTGAGTCCAGCCACTAACCTAAATGATTCTATGATTCTGTTTATCTGATGGCATAACCATTTTTCTATCCATCTAGTTGTGCACCCAGCAAAACTGTCATATATATACTTGCATAGGAAATTTTGGCAGAACTTCTCCAGGCCTGGTAGATATGCAATCTGAAGCCATTTGCCTCTATGTCCAAGGTTTTGTTTCGACCTGCTCTGGCCATGCAGTGCTGCATGACCCTGTCCTGTGCTCCAAGAGGACAACTGAAGTCAGGAAAAGCAGCCCAGCTTCATTTTCCTGAAGCTGCCCCTGAACACAGGGCAAGAAGGGGCTTTTGGAGTCATCAGCACTTGCCCTGAAGTCCAGTTCTTGGAGTTAGCAGGAGGCAGAAGAGGGAAAATAATGTCCTTCCAAGCAAGTTCCTCTGTGGGCCCTTTGCAGGCTATCCTCACCTGTCCCCAGAGCCTCTTGAGCAGATGGCCACCAGCCAGATCCCCACATCCTGACCCACATTTCCTGAGAACTCACCAAGGCAGAGTTTCACAGACGAGAGGAAATCCCTAAACAGCGTGCAGCCCAGAGAGTGGAAAGTTCTTTTGCGGGGGTTTGGTTTGTTTATGTTTAGTTTTTTTTCCCATCTTCCCCATGAACGTATTTGGCATCGAGCTGTCCCTGTCAGCTCAGGATCCCAGCAGAAACCAGAGCTGGGAGGGCTCTTCCTGCCTGGGCGAGGCTTCCCAGAAGCATGAGGGATTTACCAATCGCCACCTTTCACTCCCAGTCCCTTGCCGTGTCCCACCACAGGCCATGTGCAGTGACAAGCTGCAGACAGGTCTGCTGGCGGTCAGCTACTTCATCTACCTGCTGGTGGGTGCAGCTGTGTTCCAGGCACTGGAGAGGACTGCTGAGAAGCAGGAGAAAATAGCAGCTGCTCAGATGAAGGAAGCTTTTCTGCAGAACTTCAGCCACCTCACGGTGGCGGAGATGGAACAGTTTATGAAGGTAAGTGTCAGCCCTGCAAAAGACTCTTCTCCCTCCTGTTTCCCCATCAGATGCTGTTTCCTACGCAGCCTCACTACAGAGATAACTTTCATTGCGTTCCTACTGATGCGGTCATTTGGACGATTTTAGCAAACCCTAAGCCCACTCTCTGATCTGAGTGGGCAGGTCATTGGAGCTTGTTAGCTATTAGCAGTCCTCATCCTATGGTATCCTGATTCTCTGGGGTCTTGCCTTCTGTTGATTTGGCTTTCGGTGGGGCTATGCTCATCTACAGATGGAAAAATGGGTCAGTCTGAAATGAATGTGCACGGTTGCCACTTACAACAGTGTCACAGGTAGGAACAATACAGCAAAGTCTGAAATAATCCACTGGGTGAAAAGAAAGAAGCCCAAATCACTACCAGCAGTGTGGCATAGACAGGGTTTACTTTTTTGAAGATGCTGCAGAAGTAAAACAGGTAGTCTGGCCAAGAGAAAGGTGTTTCTGGTCATGGCACAGGAAACTGTGAATGAGTGCAGTTGTATCTTAATTTTCAGTATTTCCTAGCTGTATCTGCTACAATGCAGAAGAAAACTGGGACTGCCAACAGCCTTGCTGTACGCATTTTTGCATGGGAAACTAACGGAGCTTCTAATGGGCCAGTTCACAGAATAAAGAAAGGAGGGAAAGAACTGGTACTTCTAATAACACAACCAGTGATCCAGCCCACAGTTCACATTGCATGCACCTTCTTCACCTTGGATTTTGTTTTGCGAGTAGGGGAGGAGGAAAAAACCAAAAAAGCTTTTTGAGACAATGAAATCTTTGTGCAAGGGGTTTCTGTTAGCCCTAATTTTCTGGGACACCAGCAAAAAAGATACTGAGGGAGGAAGTTGAGGGGAAGACTGTTCTAGCACAGTTTATTCCAGCTTGTGTCTTGCCTCTGGTAGGGCTCAGCCCTGGATTTTATTTAGGCTGTTTCTGTGCAAACCAGCCTGCCTTCCAGATGTCTGGTCCAGTGTTCACTGTTTCCTAAAGGCAGGAGCAGCTGGATACTCTTTGGCTTTTCAAATTATTACTATTATTACTTTTAACTTTAAAAAAAAAAATAACAGCACTTAGAATTAAAACCAAGGAAGAAGGGAAGAGTCTGAAAATGCACATCATGATAGATGACATAGGCTGGAAGGGCTGAGCAGAAACATCTAGACAAACTCTCTGTGGCAGGGCAGTCTCAGCTCAACCTAGACCATCTCTGACAGATGTTCATCTAACTTCATCTCAGTAACCACATTGTAATGATGTGCATGTGTGTTCATGCATGCAGTCTGGAGAAGAGGATATATGTCAGGCTGAATTCCGCTTGTGGTTGCACCAAGAGTAATGCTTTGCAAACCAATGGACGTTTTCTGAATTTAAATCTGACACAAATCATAATAAAGCCTTAAAATGCAGTTCTCTGTGTATGTCACATGTACCCTGCTATAATTTACTAATGCCCACCTGGGAGAGACTGGAATCACTGCTCAGTATGTCTGCATACAGGTGGATGATTAGATCTCGAATCCATCACTGTCCGCCAAGAGCAAATTCTAAACCAGCAACCAGCCACTCAATGACTTAAACGAGTGGGCTGCCCTGCTCTGTCATGTCCTAGCCATCCATAGGATCATTTTTTCCAACGTACTTAGCCTAAAAGAATCAAGGTCCTTTATTGTGCTAAAAGAAGCAAGTTCTCCTAACATCCATGAAAGCAGTCAGCATAAACAGAGCAAAAGATTAATATAGAAAAACACTGGCTGGCAGGTTCACCCAACCTTGGAGGTAAAGGTGTGAATAGTGTCAGAGTGTTGCTGAGGCCAGGTGTGTGGAATTCACAGGAAAGGAGCAGAATCTGTAGTATTCTTGCAGCAAGCACTTGAGAAAAGCACTCATGTTGATACCAAACTTTACTTTCCTCCCAGAACCTGACTGAAGCTATTCAGAATGGAGTATATCCCATTGGAAATGAATCACAGATTGAAGACAGCAACTGGGACTTTAGTAATTCCTTCTTCTTTGCAGGAACAGTTGTTTCCACTATAGGTAGGTGTAACACTTTCCATGTATGTGTGTTTGTGTGTGTGTGATGCATATTATGTCTGGTTAGTAGGATCTGAATGGATAATACTTTCAAGGATCAAAACTCCAGCCCTTCATAGCCATGGATGGTAAGCAGCAACGGACTTGGTCCTGAGACCTCACTGCTGCACAGCTGTTCTTAACTTGTGAAATCAGTTGCCCTTCATATTATTTCTCACCTATTTCTTCTTTTTGAGACATCTGTTAACATGTTCTCTCTGATGCTGTTGTGAGTGGGAGATAAACTTCACTTTCCTCATCTTTATTCCAGGGTCAAATAGGCTTTAAATCCAAGTGTGCTGTGAAGTGTAAAAGCATGGTAGCGAAACAGTGAACTCTGCTGGAGCATGGACGCTGCCTCAATAACCTGTGCTGAGCTGTTAGTGCACAAACCGAATTAGTAATATGCCAGGAGGAAAAAAATGGGAAGGGGGCAATGCAAATGCTGAGACTTTTACACTGTATCTTCAAGCTGTTCTGCATTTTTCAGGGGCTGCTTTTCCCTGCCTGCGTCTCCCTTTCTCTCAAATATGCATCCCATAATGCGCAGGTTTGCCAATTTAAGCACAAAATTCACACTGCTGGCTCCTGCTTCCCACTCTCATGCAGTGAAAGTATTATTTTTGGAGAACGAAGCTGAGGCCTTACTCCCACTACCCTCTAGGCATAGCTGCTCCTCTGATCTGTGAGCGTGATGTGTCACAAGGACCCCAGAGGTGTCCCAGCATCATGGTAGGTGTGTAGGCATTGCAGGAACCCATGAGGAAACTGCCTGCTGTAGAAGACAGAAAAGCTTCTGACTTCAATGACCATGTTCCACAATTACAACATTCACATAACCATAAAGCTTCCCTAGTTTGCCAGCACCCTGCTACTACCCAATCCATTCCTTGCCATCACCTGTAGTATTGTATTTTTTTCAGTACAGCATTTCTCTGCCAAGCCTATCTGCTTCTTCCTATCATGTTTTTTTCTCTAATGAGGCCTTACCCCAGCTGAAAATCAAGCCCCACCCAGCTGCTCCCTCACTACCTTCCCCTGGTGGGATGGGGAGAGAATCAGAAGGGTAACAGTAAGAAAACACGCGAGTCAAGATAAAGACAGTTTAATAAGCAAAAGCCGTGCACGCAAGCGAAGCAAAACAAGGATTTCATTCAGCACTTCCCATCAGCAGGCAGGTGTTCAG